TATCATCCTAGCAAACTTGGACCTCTACCTAAGGAGTAGTACCTTACAATTACTTCATACCTAAAATGCTAGTGGCCTTCCACGGCAGAAATACATATCAGCCCTTATCCATACAGCAGGAAAAAATCAATCGCCATTACTGTGTGTTTCCTTTGAAACAAATGATAGACGGATATACATTACTGCAGAACAACCTATACAATACGCGACAAACGGAACTTACAGGAACCTCATTGGAAAGCTTTCTGACATCCATTCAGATCGGCTAGGTACCCGCAGTGCTATTCATGGCTCCGTTATATAGTTCATGCTCGCCCTGGTCATTCTAAGATAGGATGCTTGAAGGTGCCTAGTAAGTGGTAAAAGATTTATATTATTTTCATTAAGGCGATCGAAAATATGGATGCAGACCTGGAGAATGCAAACTACATCCTTTAAGTATACTTACCAGGTACCTAATTGGCCCAGATGATATGCCGGGGGACTTATGCTTCTGCCGAGGTATCCGTTGATTCGCTCTTAAAGCAGGTATGGAGTAGGTCTACACCTCATCTTCATACCTCTACAAATTCGCCGCATTTTCTAAGCTACCTTAGTCTTCTTAATTTCCTCAGACCTTCGAGTCGATAGTTATGAGTATTCTGTGATTCTTTACTTGCCTTAGTACATTTGGATTGCGCGATAAAATGGCAGCTGCGCGAGATAACCGCAAGTCGGTGTTGATCACTGGGTAAGCAAACCTTTTGTTGCATTGACAATTTTAATCGTTTCGATGCGCGCCGCTAATCGCTTTTTTTTGTGTTCTGAACTAGATGCTCTCCCGGTGGAATAGGCAATTCACTCGCCCGTGAGTTTCATCGAAATGGCTTGCGCGTCTTTGCGACGGCGCGAGACGCAAAGAAGATCGATGATCTAGCAGCCCTGGGTATCGAGACGCTAGACTTGGTAGTGGATGACGAACAAAGTGTCAAATCCTGCTGCTCCGAAGTCGAAAAAAGACTTGGGGACAAGGGACTTGATTTTCTTGTTAACAATGCGTATTCTTCTCCCTCTTGATTTTGCTGGAACAATAGACCTGGATGCTGATACCTGCATGGCTAGAGGCCGAAGTACGTTATGAAATTCGATCTAGTTTGCCCAGTTCGGCATTTAGACACGGAGAGACTTTACTCACGTATGACAGACTACACTGTTCCAGCTACTGAGATAGACCTTGGGGAAGCCCGGAAGACTTTTGAAACCAACTTCTTCGCGGTCATCTCTATATGCCAGACCTTCTTGCCATTGCTCATGAAGGCAAAGGGCACTATTGTGATGATCGGTAGTGTGGCTGGGGTTAGTCAAATTTTCCTTGCTGATATGCCATTTTCTGGTCCTAACAGTCTCCCTCTTTGTCAAGATCATACCTTATGTGTTCGGGTCGGTCTACAATGCCTCAAAAGCCGCGCTGCATTCGTTCAGCGACACGCTGCGGGTGGAACTTGCTCCCTTCGGGTATGCCAATGTGCTTCTCCATATTACGCCTTTCCACTGATACTGAACCCCTTCAGAGTAAATGTCACAACTGTCATCACTGGGGGTGTGCAATCCCGCATTGCACGTACTCAGCGAACTCTCCAGCCGAATTCCCTGTTCACTCCTATTGAAGACGAGTACGCACGCCGTGTGACCCATAGTCAGGATGGTGCTATGCCACATGCTGCATATGCGCGGAGCGTTGTAAGGCAGGTCCTATACGGATCAGCGCCATGGCGCTGGTTATGGCCATGGGCGCAAGGACGAAAGAGTTGGATCTGGGAAGGCAACAAGAGCTGGCTGATTTGGCTCCTATGTGGCGGTTGGGCTTGGACGGGTCTATTCCATGGCGCCATGACGCGGATGTTCAAACTCTACAAGTTGAAAAATACCATAGGGAAGTAGAAGCGAGGGATCATTGCTCGGCTCTATAGTCTAGGAGAAGAACCCAGCCGGTGTTCCACCATGAAAACAATTTCTGTGCATCTGCCAGAATCATAGAAGTATAGAAGTTAAATGCAGCGGTGATTGGAGACGACCGGCAAACTCAGCTATCATTTCTCGCTTTCTCTTGGTTCTAGTGACGATGAGGCCAGCAAACTATGGGTCTCGGCAAGGAGCTGTGGACGGGGAAGAAGTTATAACAGCGTTCCGTGATATTCGCGTCGCCCGCAATATGCACATGATTAGTCATCCAAACACGCACGCTGGTTGGCTCCATCAGGTGACCGGGTGCAATGCAGACGAAGCGCAATATTGTTCCGAGAAGCGCAGCCGTGAAAAAGCAGTGAAAGCTGTTCCCTTTCCCGAGATCTCAACAGTGGATAGTCCGCCCCTTCCTGTCAACAATCACTTTGGAGGCTCGTTCTTCCTCTTGTACTCTTATCTGTTTTCTTGGAATTCTCCCCTCTTTGACAAATTATTTTCATCATGTTCAAGCTCGCGCGCAGCAGCCGTCCTGTCGCGGCAGCTATCAGAGCTGCGACGGTGAGATATTTTCCTGTGCTATTTTGACAATATTACATAGTACCATATCTATTGGCATCAGATTGAGCTTGCTGACATTGCAATTTTGGTAGGAATCTTCCGTCCAATCCAGATTGGCTCAGCAACAGAGAAACCTGTCCATTCACGAATACCTCTCTGCCAGACTTCTCAAGTCCGTATGTTGTCGGAAACGTGCACTCGATATTCCGCAGATCTAAAATGACTGACCGGATGACAGTATGGCGTGGGAGTCCCCAAGGGCGAGGTCGCCCACTCGGCAGAGKAAGCTGAGGCTGTCGCCAAGTCAATCGGTATATATGAGCCCCTATGAACAAGCTGGACCGCGGTTTACTTAGACAACACTTTAGGGAATGATGATATGGTGATCAAGGCTCAGGTTCTTGCTGGTGGTCGTGGTAAGGGTTCCTTCGACAATGGTCTCAAGGGAGGTGTGCGCGTTATCTATTCGTGAGTTGATTCCCCAAAAATTCCGTTGTTTTCGCCTACGGCATGTCCCCTTGTTGACACAATTTTCTCCAGTCCAACCGAGGCCAAGATGTTCGCTGGCCAGATGATCGGACACAAGCTCATCACCAAGCAGACTGGTGCTGCTGGTCGCCTTTGTAATGCTGTCTACATTTGCGAGCGCAAGTTCGCTCGTCGTGAATTCTACCTTGCCGTCCTTATGGACCGCGCAACTCAGACACCCGTCATTGTTGCCTCGTCGCAAGGTGGTATGGATATTGAGGCAGTTGCCAAGGAACACCCTGAGGCTATCATGACGACTCCTATTGACATCAAGGTCGGCGTGACTGATGACATTGCCCGCAAGATTGCTACCGATCTTGGCTTCTCTGAGCAGTGCATCGAGGATGCCAAGACCACCATCCAGAACCTGTACAAGGTCTTCATGGAGAAGGATGCTACTCAGATTGAGATTAACCCTCTGTCTGAGACCTCTGACCACCAGGTTCTGGCTATGGACGCCAAGCTGAACTTTGATGACAACGCTGAGTTCAGACAGAAGGAGGTTTTCTCGTGGAGAGACCCTACTCAGGAAGACGCCGATGAGGTCAAGGCTGCTGAGTACGTCCCGATGGCACCCAGTTTATGGCCCACAAATTTTTTGTTCTAACTTGGACGACAGGTACGGCTTGAACTTCATCAAGCTGGATGGTGACATTGGATGCCTGGGTACGACCTGACAACACTTACCTTCCTGCGCTCATGCTGACCGCTTCTTTAGTCAACGGTGCTGGTCTCGCCATGGCCACCATGGATATCATCAAGCTCAATGGTGGAAGCCCTGCCAACTTCCTTGATGTTGGTGGTGGTGCTACCCCCGCCGCTATCAAGTCTGCTTTCGAACTCATCACCAGCGACCCCAAGGTCACTGCCATCTTCGTTAACATCTTCGGTGGTATCGTCCGCTGCGATGCTATCGCCCAGGGTTTGATCAATGTCGTGGAGGATATGGGTCTGCGCATCCCCATCGTTGCTCGATTGCAGGGTACCAACATGGAGCAGGCTCAGAAGCTGGTATGTGGCCAAACATCACAAGCTACGAAAATGGCCATGAAACGCTAATGTAGGATCTATAGATCAACGAGTCCGGTCTTAAGATCTTCTCCATTGAGGACCTCCAGAGCGCCGCCGAGAAGTCCGTCCAGTTTTCCAAGGTCGTCAAGATGGCCCGTGAGATTGACGTCGGTGTGGAGTTCACCCTTGGTATCTAAGCTCCGTCGGTTTGAGATGGTCCAGCATGTGTCATCGCCTATTCTTTCATCTTTCCGTCTTTTTTTTTCGCGATTTCCCTTTATACTTTCCTTTGATTACATGGGTGATGACATGGTTGGAAATACCAAAATGGACTACCGGGGACCTCATATTCGCTGCCCTCGCGACACTACTGTTCAGGGTTGATCAGCGATGGATGCCGAATTGCGAGGCGGGCGAGTCGGTCAGGATACGTTAGCGAATTTGGGCTAGTATAATAGTGAAATCCGCACAGTACGGGGAAGGCAGGGTGACATAATCATAGAGAGCATTGATGGTTCTGTATATCGTCCATATCTACTATTTTCTTTTCCTTTCCCTTTTTCAATGTATTTCTTGTCGATTCAGTCCTATCGATCCGATGTCTATTTCTCTAAGCGCCTTAAGATGCTCTCGGAATAAACAAACTTCAAGACCTCTAATTAAAGAGTGTTTCTCTTGGTCCTAAAAATAGATGCATCGTATTAACTGCCATCGGAGTATTACAACCTAGTTGTTGTGTAAAACACCCGCCGGGTCCTTTACATCTATGGTACCTTAGATAAACATGACGGCGGATCAACTAGCTCAGCTGATTCCTTCCTCATCAACACCCTCACTCCTTCTCTGTGAGCCTCAACCGTCCCACAGTGCGCCAGGTCCGTCATTGTAGATGCTTCTTCCCTCTTACAAAGAACGACAACGATGATTCACAGACGCTGGAAAACGATATCTCCGTCACTATGGAATGTGTAGATCCGAACTCGGACGAACAGGAGATCATCACTCGACTCCAAAATCTTAGGACGAAGTCCGCGCGACGCAGAGTGTACGGGTTTCCTCAACAAAGGCCTTTTCACGATAATGCATATTTGAAGACTCATTGACTGACACTAGTCACGAATTCCAGGTTCCGTCAACTCATCCACCATCTAGCTTCTGACGAATGGCGTGACTTGAGGGATCATCTTAATACACGAACCTTCCAGTGTGATATCCTAGGGTTGCTTCCCCTCGAGATTGCTGTGCAAGTCGCCCAGTATCTAGACCTAGCGGAAATCCATGTCTTGCAGAGAGTAGGCAATATATGCCCACTTGTCCTGTGACCGGAAATGGTGAAACTCACATTGTATTAGGTCTCCAGAACTTGGCACAAGCTACTGTCATCTACCCCGGTTCGTAGCTCTGTATACCGCCGGTATTCAGGCCGCACACTCGATTCTTTTCATCAGACATCTCATCACATCTACAACCAGTATGCCAAGCAGAGGATCAGACTGGAGCGAGGAGAGCCGTCTTCAGCCCTTCGTCGGCGCGAGCCCAGCCATATTAACCCAGCTTGTCTAGACTATTCGAATGGACGGTATGCATGGACTGGCGAAATGACCACAGTCGTCGTGCAGGATCTGCGTTCGAATGCAATGCAAATGTTCTGCACGGAAAACAGAGAACGCATCGGCCACGTTCGTCTTTCGGAGTTGATTGTTGCGGCGGTCACTCTACGTGGGTAGGCAGCAATTCTTGCGCAGATCGAACTCATGTAGTATTCTCTTACTCATGGAACGGGTTTTAGATACTGCCATGTTTGGAATCTCCGAACGGAGGAGTCAGCATACTTTCGATTGCCATCCCGCCTATTCCACCTCTTCGTTATTCGCGGCACCAAGATTGCCTTCGGCTTCAAGGATCCCGCGGCTGGAAACACTGTTGTCATGCAATGGGACTTCAACTCGCGCGTTTCCCGCACGGTAGTTGTGGCAGATCACTTAGTGTTTATAGACTTACATCCTACCCTGGATTACTTGATCTCCATCCATCTACAACGAAATGACAACGTTGATGGCCCATGGGATCTTGAAGGGGTCCCGTGCAATGCCGCACAGTTGCAGGTCGTGAAGCATTGCTTTTCGTTGGAAACTCCTCAAACGGCATCCAAAATCCTGACCCTGCCGAAGCTAGAAAACAGCGACTGGGTAGTTCGGCCAAATGCCTGGCTCTCAGAACAATTCAACGACAGAGCGGGAATCCTAATAGCTCGTCCCAAGGGTGGTGAAGATCACCACCCGCACTATATTATCGCCATTACCCACTATATCGAGACCGAAGAGGTTTTCTTGCATCGCTTGCCTCCGGAGCACACATCGTCTTCCCATTTACACGTTGCACCTATCGACCGCAACCTCTTGTACTATATCAGGATCGAGCGAGCCATGCCCACCATCTGGATTTCGCAACCAGGCGCGCAAGTGCCTTACAGGCCGGCCAAGTCTATGCCTTCTCCGTGGGCGGTAGATCCTGGTCAACATGATGCCGACGAATACGTGCTCAAGGGAGATCATGATTGTGTTTTGTTGGTCAATAGGGGTGGGGTGAGCGCTTGGTGTTTCGATGAAGCCGCACAGCCCTTGTGTGCTATTCCCTTCCAAATCCCGGACAATTGAAGATGGTGGCTTCAATGGAATTGAGCATGATGCGTTATTTTTAGGACCAAGAGAAACACTCATTAGAAGGTCTTGAGCTTTGTTTGTTCTGAGTGCATCTTAGAGTGCTTAGAGAATTAGATATTAAATTGATAAGGACTGAATCGGCAAGAAATACATTGACAAAAGGAAAAGAACGAAGACTATATATGGATGATATAAAGAAGTATCAATGTTTTTTATGATAACGCCACCCCATAATACTCTACCACATCATTAGCAGAGGGATGGAGCACAAAAGGACAGCAATGCATAGACAGATGATAATAAACCCACCTAGGTAGGTAACCAGGGTTAAGATGATGATAGTCGGATATTGAAACCTCTGCATCCAGACTATTGAATCTAGTGTTCATTTACGGCGGATGTTTAGACTACTACAGATCAATCCCAATACCCGATACCTCTCTAGTCTGCGGCCTGTTTATCTACTCCGCATCCATCTCATTTGGTATCAAATGTACCCTTTGAACGCACCAACTTGTCATCCTCAACATGAGCTACGGAGGACAGTTGTCTATTGTTGATTTCCTCTCGGTGATCCATCATCATTGCTATTATCTACTTCTTAATCACGAAAGAGCAACTCATCAAATGACAGGTATCAGTTGCATAGATAGACTTGTTTCTCCTAGTTGCGGAGTACATCTCTCTCCCCTCCGCATAAATCATAATATCATATTACTCCCCCTATTCGCCTCCCCCTCATCACTAGTCGCAATATATCTTCTTCGTTACCTACGCCACTCTTCCTTGCACCCAACCAATTGTTGTTCCATATCCACGGTTCCATGCAGATTCCAGAGCCCAGACTGCTGTTACCTGCTTACTTTAGTAACAGACTCCTGGATCTAGTAGGACTGTAGCAGGGTAAGCCAGCTATCTACTACTGGGTTCCCCAAATATCCTTCTGCACCTTAAACTCCTATTAGCACTAAATATTCTGTTGGTATCACCAACTATAGTCTATCTATTATTGTCTTATATTATATTGTTTAATATATTCGAGATAATCCTTTATCCGAACCCTCGTTTCAGATCTTCTCAACCGCGAATTTTCGTCTTTGTCTTTTCTCGCATTCTCTGTCTCTATGCTCTGATGAACTGATCTCCCCCCTTTTTATTCTCTCCACAAGGCATATACAGAGAGTATATGTCAATAAACCTGCATAGGCACTTCTAGAGCAGAAACGAAAAGGGGAAGACGTGAAGAAAAAGAAAAAGAAAAGGAATCGTGCATTGGAACGACAAGGAGCCTACATATCGGCTGTTCCCGTGCCTCCGTTGGTCATTTCCCGAGCTCCTAGACTGGATGTCAGAAACCGGACCCATGATAGTCAGCTTCAACTACTACTAGCAGCTATCTGGTTATCTGCAGATCCGATCTTTTAACACGCCTCGTCCGCGACATTCCTGCCCTTCCACGGCTCGTCCCTCTCGCCCCTCTCGTCGATTTCATGCTGGCACCTCCTTCCGAGACTAGACTGGAACGAGTGGAGAACAAAGGGGCAAAGAGGAGCTTTGGACTGGTCTCAGACTCTTCACACCCATTGAGTCTGGTGGGCGACAAAAATCCTTGAACAGTCGCTGTTTGGCAAATCGACGCGCGAGAGGGAAAAGGAAAAGAAAAAGGAAAAGAAAAAGGAAAGAGAAATCGAAGTCACATTCTATCTACAGGATCTTCGCTTCGCAATGACTCTAGAAGCGGAGACTCTACGGTATTGATCAGCGCCTTCTTGGCCCAGGCTCTGTGATTCTTTGTATCCACTTTCCCACGTTCTCCAGTCCTCCACGAGCCGCCGACATCTGGAAGAGAGGAAAAAAGGCACTACGTGATCGCTCCCTCTCTTCGTTGAGCATCCGCATTTTCAGTTCAGGTGGTTTCTTCCAAGATCCGCTCTGCATAGGCTTGCTTCTTTCCCTCTGCGGCTTGGCCGTCATCCTTCCTTTCGCGCGAGATGAGCAGCCTCGCCGATCCTCCGTCTCGAAATACTTTTACTGCCGGTTCTGCAGATGCGCCAGGCAAGACACGAAAGCTCCCCGTCCTTCCCTCCTCTATTCCATCCTCTGCTCAGTCGACAGGTGACTCCATGGAGGTCACTCCACCTGCCTCTACGACGACAGGTCCCGCGCCGCCCGCCCACAGCAGTCCGGACAGCGATCGGGCGGGCGCAAACATCGCGAATTCCAATGGTTCGGTCGAAACTGGAAACATGAACAATACTTCAATGTCAAATCAAGCTATCGGGGCTGCAGCCGCAGCCCAGCAGCCAAAAGTCGTTCAGACCGCTTTCATTCATAAACTGTATAAGTATGTTTGCTCAGATTCCGTTCGCTCTCATGGATGTCTCAAACCCTTCCTTGTCTTATACTTATCATCTGCACCGTTTGACATAAATCATGTTAGCCCTTGCTGATGCCACTTAAACAGTATGCTAGAGGATCCTAGTATTCAACATCTGATATCGTGGTCGAGCACCAACGACAGCTTTGTCATGTCGCCAACATCCGAGTTCTCGAAAGTCCTCGCGTCAGTTCCTCCACTTGAAAGCGCTTCGCATATTGTAGCCTGATTGCTGATATTTGCCTCTTTAGTCAATACTTCAAGCACACTAATATTTCGTCTTTCGTTCGACAGCTCAATATGTACGGTTTTCATAAAGGTATGTGATTTTCCGGGGGTGAAGTGAATGTGTTCGTACTTTTGCTGACCCTTTGCGTCTTCTTATAGTGAGCGATGTCTTTCACACCGGCTCTCCAGACTCTGCATTATGGGAGTTCAAACACGGGAATGGGAATTTTAAACGGGGCGACCTCGTAGGGTTGCGCGAGATCAAGCGCCGAGCATCACGACATGCTTTGATTCATCGCGACTCATTTCCCGGCCACAAGACCGCTGTTTCTCAACCTGGCACGCCGGCCGAGCCCGTCCCAGATGCGACCGAAGCGCGATTACTGAATTTGGAACATTCGCTCTATGACATGCATACCCGTTTAAGTCGCGCTGAAGAGGCGCATTCAGCTCTCAACTCAAGATGTCAAGCCATGGCCGAGAGTTTGGCCAGATGCTATCATGTTCGTTGCCCCTTTTTGGGTTTCATGGAGGCGCCTGCTGTGTCTGACACTGGAGCACTGACGGGATTTTAGTGGTCGTATTCGATTTCTCAATTCCTACAAGGAACGATTCCTGATCGGGACAGTCCTCTGTACCGGGATGGTGAGCATCACTACCGAAGAACGACATTACCATGAGCACATTCGCTAACTCATCACAGTGTCCAGCATGCAGAAAGAGATAGAGAAACATCTCGACGTCGTGCGAGCCCTCGAAAATCCTCCGGATCCATATTTATCTGTCAGACCACCATTTTTTGCCAATGTGTCGGTTGATCCCGGGCCGCCTCTTTCCCCACGCCAGATGCCCCAAGATGATAGCCGTCGACCATCGATGATGGATACGTCTAGGCATAACATAATCCGACCGCCCGTGCCCCCGCATCTTGCTGTCTCTCCTCGTCGGTATGGCTCAATTGGTGGGGGAAACTCGTCCCCAAACTATAATCGGCCGCAGGTTCCCTCTGTAATCCCACCTCAACAGCCGATGCCTCATCCTCTGTCTTCGGTATCTTCTCCGCCGGGACCCAATCTTGCTCGTCGACACACTTCAGCAGACATCCGTCAGCATGGCTGGCCGCCACCGAACGTTTCCCAGTTTCCCGCTGCTAATGCACAGGGCGCTCCAGTCACACCATGGCCACCCTCGCCGCATCGTACACCGACTTCTAGTGAACAGCAGGTTCGGGATGTCCTGGCTCAGTATGAGATGGGAGTACCCCGGCGATTTCAAAGCAGTTCGCGACATGCTACGCCGCCTTTGAATCCGGACCAGCCGTCGTCCACTCTAACCGTGGACAACGCATGGACATATGGTGGATCGAAGTATGCTAGGCATGAATCCTCTCTTCCTGCCACAAGACGGTCCAGCATGGCCAGCAACGTCCACTCGCTCCTCAACCCCGCTGATACAGTGGAACGTCCTGAAGAGGATCAGCATAACAACCTCGAAGATCGGAAACGAAAGCGGTTAGAATAAAGAAAATCCGTGAGACTGATATACGCGCTCAATTGTAATGTCTAGCCGAACCGCCAATGTAACGCGCAAGTCATATGTTGAGCATGAGAACTTTAGCATCTGGCTCTCCGTCTTGCAGCCACAGCGATACACACAAACCTCTTGAAGAAGCACCATCTGCATATTTGAGCAATCTATCACTGCCACATATCCTGCTCATATTGGAATCTCACCCCCGTTCATTGATCTTTTCCTTTCATCCCATATAACTTGTACAATCTCTCCAGGAAAAGTGCGGGTTTTCCAGGACAGTTGGAGGCCACGCTTTGTTTATTTTGTCTTCTACGCCTAATTTAGAGGGCGCAGCCCTCCTTTCGCAGCATACCTGCTGGAAGTTGTTGTATGTCCGGTTCTGTTGACATCATGCCTGACCATGCAGATCGATGATGACTGCCTTCTTGCCACAGTATGGTGTCTGCAATTATTGGGAACTTGGAATAGGCAGGTTCGGTTCCCGCATATCATACTTACTATATACCCTGGGGCTGGATGGGGCAGACCGTGTCTATTTTTGATCACAAGCTAGATCTACAATAAGAGTCTACAATCTAATGCAATTATGTCCGTGTGCATGAACTCGGGGACACATTATTGTCTGCAGCCTTGCCCATCTCTTGGATGTTGGTCGGGAACTGGCGAGACCTAAGTCGAGAGTATGGCGAACTATGAAAATTAGGTCGATCACGGCATCGAGAACATCCACAAAAAAGATTTGCTGTATTCATGTGGATTGCTGTCCATCAAACTCAATATTTCATCGGAAAACTGGGTATCATGTTGTACAACTGAAAGATTGGGGGAGGTTCCTGTCGGCCAACATCATCGCTTCTTCCTCTTTTTCGACCGATCGGCGAGTATCTCATCCAAAAAACTTGTGGCTTTCTTCCGGCCTCTCGGCCCTGGCGCTGATCGCGATAACGGGCCCTCTTGTTTCGCTGGAGTGTCTTCGCTATCACCATCCTTGATCTCACCAGCACCACTTGGGGCAACGCCACCGTCCTCTGCGATATCAGTTGTAGCTTTTCTTTTCCGTGCCAAATCCACCGCTTTCTTCCGAAGGTCGCCTTTCCTTCCCACCATCACCGTTCGTCCTTCCTCATCGTCATCGTCATCATCCGCATCGCCCGTCCCAGCCGCCGAGGAAGCCGCCGCATTCCCAGCGGGTACTCCATTTTGGTCCACCGGCTTGCCCGATTTTACCCCAGCGGAAGCAGCCATAACCTTCTTGTAGTTTTTTCCCAGGAGTTGTTTCCGGAGCTTATCGTTGGAATCCAGTTCGGTCCGGTTCCAGCTCCCGTCAGCGGCTTTTTCGGGGAGGGGCGCGCCGACTMCTAGTCTGTTTCGGAACCGTCAGTATGCGTGGAAATCGACATTGGCATCAAACAGGGTAATTTAAGAACATACGTCTCCGGGACAGCAGTGAAGATTTCATCTTCCTCTCGCTGCAGCTCTTCTTCTGTTTTGACATGGGCCTTTTCTTCGTCTGTCGGCGGAGGGAGCCAGGAGGCTACTAGACGCTGGCTGCGCGCTAGAGCAACATGGGCTTTATTGAGGATGATGTCCGTTTCGCTTTTCGATATTGACATGCTTGTTCATGTATGTTATATATAACGATTGGTTGAGCTGATTGTAGAAGATCACCACCGATGGATTGGAACTTTTTTGCGATAGCAGGGCGGAATATGCGGGCAGAAAGTTCACCGCCTGCTTTGGTAAGGACGGGAGTATCTGATATGGCTGGCTAAGATAAATGGCGAGTTTGAGCCTCTCGGTTGATGATAGTGTCATTTGCTGTTCGTAGTGACGAATGGACTGCTGACAGATGGTTAGTAAAGTGATTGCTATAACCTGTGGTACTGGCGGCAGCAGGTTGGTTTTCGAATCTCAATTGCGTCAGTTCATATAATGAATCTATGCACATCTCTAGATACTCTAGTCTAAATCAGGGTCAAAATACTATGTACAACGCTGAGGGAACGTAGACTATATACCCTTCGTTACATCGTTCATTTTTCGCAAGACGTTAATCCAAACGCGGAGAAGCTCAGATTGACGCTTTAGTTTTCTCATGTTGTTTCTTTTCTTTTAGCTTCTTCTCCGTCTTCATAAACTCGCGAATACCAACTGGTATACTGGCAAAGAGATCGTCCGCCTCGTAAGAAACTGGCCAGTTAGTTTCCCTACCTCCGCCGTCGTCATCCATGCTATGACTCGCACTTTCAACCTCTGCCCTGGGCGTCTGTCGCATATCCGTCGTGGCCTTCTGGGTAGAGCCCTTCGCCTTGGCTCTTGCCACACGGCTGGCCCATTCCTCCATTTCATCGCGGTAATCATCCCACACGCAATGGACACAACCACTCATGCAGCAATTGTCCGGTTCCTCGGGCCGGGGCGGAATGGCCACCCCGTTGATCATCTTCCACTGAGACTCAGGTGGCATAGTTCCAGGGTTATAACGCGAAACACGGCCTGGCCCAGCAAGCCGCGATCCAAACACGATGGACATCTTCTCTTCTGGTGATTGTGGTTTGACGGTTGTTGCCGGGGTTGGTTTCTCGGCGGCTTGCGACGCTGGGCGCGAAGTTGGCGCATGAGATTTGTAGGGTGATTGGGATGAGAGAATATCGTAGTAGTAGCCCGATAATGGATGTGCCTGCGAGCGCGTTGAATCTTCTAAGCTTGCCAGGGTATCGTCGTGGGTGGTCCCGCTGTGGGAAGACGGAGCGTAGGCATATTCTCTTGTCACTGATAAAGTTGGCCAGGAAGGTAAAGAAAGCTTGTTTGTAACCCGGACGTGCCCAAAGCACGGTGAGCGGGTTCTACATCGAAGAATCGACTGCCTGATACGCATGGAGAAGCACACCATTCTTGATTCTCAGAATTAAATGTGAAGAACTTCCGAAGGTCACGGACACGACCAACTTATGTCATTAGGCAAACAATGCAAACAGCCCACAGCATCTCCGAATTCCGCGGCAGTGTCTGTTTTACTATATATGCTTATCGCGGAACACATGCTGCGCGATGTTGAAACCAGATTCCTGCCATTAAGGCTCGAGGCAGCAGTCGCTCCTATTAAATGACTGGCAGACTTATTGAAATAAGTCATTTACTCCATCGGATGCCTAATCACGAATTGTGCGATCGGCGCTAGTCACTCTGTTCAACCACTACTACCGATTCCGACGCGTCGCAAATGAGCTCACAACCCCTCAGGGGTGACGCTCGAACGCGCCCTTCGAGGATTCCGACATTTCAAGCGCCAACAAAGGCGAGTCTTGCAAGATCACATCCCGAAATCTTGGAACGCTCTCATAATAGATCACCGGGGAAGGACCGGAATCAGGATGATCAACAGAAGCAGGCGGAGGCGGGAGTCTTTGGGCTACGGGATAGAAAGGCTTTTCGACCGTCGTTGGCGTCGACTGCAAGCCCTATAGGTGCTGCGCGACAAGCCGGAGATGCGCTCTCGCCGTTTTCAACCCGACGGTCGGGTGGAATTCAAGCATTTGCTGCACCCCCAAGACGAGTGTCGAGAAAAATCACTCCTGCAGACTTCGTCTTCGGGTCTCCAGCAAACTTACCAAATAATACCAGAAATGCGGAACTTATAAACACCCCAGAAGATCAATTAGCATCTGAACTGGGCAGCGCGACAGGAGAAGTTAACGTGAGCACTGAATCTGAGCAGCCGTCTTCGCATGAAGAATTTGAGGAACCGGACCTGCCCCCGACGCCCACTCAACTAGGCTTGGAAAACCCCCCCGAGAGGCCCAGAGGGCTTTTGAGCAGCAGTCCTAGCACGCAGCCTGGGAGATTCCGAACGCGGCGAACTGGTGATCTACTAGAGAAAAGCCCTTCCAAGCTCAGGGGGGTTGATTATGGGTTACAAACAGGTGACCTATCAGGACTGGGCGTCATTGTATCGAAAGAATCTCTTCCAGAACCTGTTGTGAAGAAACAAAAACTCAAAAGAGAGCTGTCTGCCGACTTGAGTAAGCTCAAGGAGGACATCGCGGAATTGGAGAGCTGGTCAGAGAGATTGGGCCAACAACATGAGACCATAGAACCAGATCACAACTTGGACAAACTCATGTAAGTTTTGTTAGGTACTCTGATCGCATCAAAGCAATCGACTGATATCCAAACAAGCTCTATATTGGTAGCCGAAGATCTGGCCAGCAAAAATGCGAAACGCCCTGCGGCCGATCCGTCGATATCGTCCTTATTATCCAGCCTATTACCTTTCTCCGCAAAGTTCGCGCCGTCAATACAGCAGTCGCCTACCCCTACAAATCCGTTTGCCCTCGAAGTATCTGCTCGAGCAAAACCATACTTGACAGTATTTGCACCCTTAAATTTGACGGCGCATTCGAACACCACCTCCGACCCAGAGAACGATACCCTTCTTGAAAGACATCACTTGACACTGTCCGCTCCTGCCCCATTTCCTTCCAACATCTACAATATACCCGTCATTTATGAGGCGAACACCGAATTACAGTGTTTGACCTCAATATCAGTCCCGACGAGTCTTGGAACTTCTGCCGCGAAAATCCCTACATCGCTGAGACGATGGATCGATTCAAGGCTGTTCAACCCGCTCCTGAAAATAGACATATCAGGCCTCTGTCAGGGCATCAATCAGTATTGGGAAGCAATGCTGTCGCGTGCTCTCATATGGTCCGAAATCGAGGAACGGCACTCGAACCTGACTGGCCGGCCTGCGTTGGGGGTTGGCGCTCCTGGAAAGAATAGCATACAGCAGGAGCATGATAAGTCGAACCCGCGCCGACTACTGCCACACCTCAAGCGCAGCACAATGCTCTTCGAATCTAAAGAAACTAGGATGAAATTACTCCTTTCATGCGACCTGAGCATGGACGAATGGTCAAGCGAACCTAAACTGACGCCGGATATCAGCATCGCATCAAGATCAACGAGTAATGGCACATTCTGCAGAAAGATCGAACAAGAGACCAAGAAGCTCTTCCAGGAGGTACTAAGGGACTCCAGACGTCAGCAGGGCGCAATTGAAACTGAGGCCGATGTTATCATTCGAGCTGTCGAGTGCGTCCTAAATGCTTTGTTCGGCGTTGAAGCTGGCGGAAAGCTGTGAAAGCACACGTTTAATGAGAGATTGGGGTGATTTTTGCCGACTCTTCTAATATCGGTATCCTCGCCCTTTCTCCTATAATGGATGATGTAAATGGCATGTAAGGTTGAGTTGAAGACGAAGCAGGCACCGGGATTGGAGTTTTTGGATATTGGCTACTTCTTGCACATGGATGTGTTGATAACTTTTTTATACCCGGCCAGGCATGCGGCACTGTTTCTTATGATTTACGTGCAGAGTACTTGTACTTTTACGGATTTTACAAATGCTGGAACACTACAAAGAAGATACCATGCAAAAATCTGTGCACACTTGTATGAGACTTAGTGTATAAATGCTATGCATGGCTAATCCTCCTCTGTCTTCTCTTGCACGTACATGCATTGAAGGACTGGTCCTAAATGTAGCATGAACATATGGGCGGAACAGCACAGAAGGCTGCCCAAGACCTGCCTGTCCCTGGTATGGCCGCCAAATTTTACCCAGGCGCTCCATGGAATGAAAAGCAGAGCCGGCAGACTCGTCCTGAAAGGTATTTCATTAAGTTGATCGATAATTTCGCAGCGAGGACCGGTCTGTGAACATGAAAGTGGGACATTTGCATTTCGAGAGGTTGGGAGCTTTTTTAAGGACAAAGGTGAAGAGAGAAAAGGGAAGCCACGCCATGCCACAATACACTAATAATCCCCGACTTGAAAATCGACCCGATCATCATTAGCTGAGAATCACATTTATTTCTTAGCAGCAGTCTCCTCCTCAGCCTTGGCCTTGGCACGCTTCTCCCGGATGCCCTTGTAGCGGGCCTCGCTGCGGGCCTCCCGCAGGCGGCGGTAAGCGGCCTCTTCGCCCTTGGGCAGCTCATCGCGCTTGACCTCGGTGACGGCCTCAGCGGCGGAGATGTTCTTGATGGGGAAGGTAGCGCCCAGCTTGGTGGCGTAACCCTCGGTCTTGCCCTCGGCGGCGAAAGCAGCCTTGGCGGCGTTGACCTCGTCGGCGGACGAGTCAAGCTTCTTGAACTGACCACTCTTGCGGGGGAAGAGGATCAGACGAGCCTTGTAGTCCTGGAGACGAGCGACATTGGCAACGAGCGACTCCTTGGAGTAGTTGACACGGCGGTGGTCAACGGCGATACCGACAGTGCGAGCGAGCTTCTTGGGGATACCAGCTTCCTATTAGGGTTGAGAAAAATTTGTTGTGAGCCTTCGTCCAAATCCTATATCCAACTCCAGCCCATGCGGACAGAGTTGGCGTGGTAAACCAGGCGCCGCTAACTGCCCGCTCTGTGCGAAGAAAAGCGAGGATGAATTTACCTTCAGCTCAGCAAGGGTGAAACCACGGCCGACACGGACACGGCGGTTGTACTTGACGGTAGGGCAGCGCACAACGGGACGCAGCTTGTCAACCGGACGAGGAGCAACAGCGGCGGCCTTAGCGAGACGGGCCTCACGACGGCGGTGCTTGCGGCCAGGCTATGATACCCAATGTCAGTCCATGAACACTCATAAGAATTCTCGGTCGCGCCGTTCGGAGTTAGGTATTTGTCCAGTCGTCCGTTTGGAGGGGCAATTCGGAAGGATATGGGTTTTCGAGTTCGTACCTGGTCGAAGTGCACGCGCACACGACGCTGCCAGTCCTTGTGGAAGTCTAATATCAAAATTCCCGTCAGACCATCAATCCAAAAAAAAAAAAGGCCATACAATCCGGATTTCCATATGTCGTAAAAAGAGATCCGTTCAAGAGGGCTCACTCACGGTGCTTCTGGAGTTGGTTGTTGTGCTTGATCGCCTATATCACCATCAAAAAAAATCGAATCAGCATGCCCGCCCTTTCTCATTGTGACCATCGAAATAGATCTCTGAACGATCTATTCGTATATTCGAGACAGCGAGGATAATATAACGCACCATTGTGACGGATGGAGATCAGAGCCGGGAGATTGTCGTCGTCGTCGTGGGTTGTTGCTGGTCGTGTCTCAAGACTCCAAAGAGTCGTTCAATATTGGGTGGAACTTTTTTGGTGTGGCCAACCGCGCAGAGCCGCACCGCCTCGCTTAGCGAGCCCTACCCTGCTTGCCGGATGTGGTAAGGTGCGATGATGCGTAACTTTCAATACCGAAGACTTCACAGAATTCCAGCTCAGTTCGATTATTGTCATGTCTCCGGAATCGATTCCAATCTGTATTTCATTAGTTGGTAAATCCCCTTATTGTTCCATCACGACCTGCAAGCCGTGTAGTTTCTGGCGCTGAGTGCTTCGTGATGCTTGACATTCTTCTGTATTGAAAAGTATTACATGTCAGTTACAGAATTACTAATCCAGGCAGGTCGAAAAGTTATTCTTCCATTCCCATGCCTATCTACATAAGGAGCAGTTGTTCAAGGTCGTCCTCTGCCATGCAAGGCGTTTTGTTAATATTTCATTTGGAAAACTTCACCGGTGTCCGAAAAGCAGTCTGGAGAGGCAGCGGTGGCCGTACAGTAGACCTGAAAATATTGAAAGCAACAAAAGCTTCAGAAGCAGAAACAGACGCCCCCAGAAAACACCAATTCCACATGTCAGTCTTGTGAAGGTCATCAATCGTGAATGTCCCCTAGGCGGGAGCAATGCGTAATTCAAAATCAAAGGCACAGCTGAAGGCAAACAAAAAAAATGAAACGTTCATGAATATCGCAGTGAGTCGAAAGCGATGCCATTGCGAGTTCAGTCGTATGGATTTCCACGAGATCCATCGAGGCAGGGAACATAGTAAAGATTATGCACGTGTATACACAATCATTAAGTAGTCTACGCTTCAATACCAAGACCCACCCCCTCAGCCGCCTTCGATTTCTTCGAAGCCGCACTATCGTCAATGCTGGCTTTGCGTTTTAATCCACTCGGAGGACGGTCGACGCCAGCCTTCCTCACCTGGCCGAACAATTTTGTTTGCAACAACGTGCTCGTCTTCGGGGCAATTACCGCACTTCGAGTCTCCTGCTGGCTGATAACAGGGTCGGGACGAAGCATGCTGGTTGCAGAAGAATCAGCTTGAGAGGCTGGAATGTCTTCTTCCGTCTCGGCTTCTTCAATGTCCGAGGCAGAGATCGTGCTGTCACGATCACGCTGCTCATCCTGAGTGTTCCTAGTTGGAGTGAAGAATAGATGTTCTCGGGGGGTCGTCCGAGACTGCGACGGTGTCATGGGAAGCGAAGACAATGAATGTGAGCCCCGCACGTGGCCATTAGAATGTTGTCTTTGACGCAACCTTTGTGGAGATGATTGAAAATCAGAAGATCCTCTGTTGAGAACTCTGTCTGCAGCAAGAAGGGCAGCAAACGGATGGCTTTCACCGCGACTCATGTGTGGACTGGTGCTGTCATGGAAGTGTGGGACTGGTTTTCTTTGAGGCGTGCGGGATTGAGTCTGAGGGCTCGGCGACATGGAACCACGTTCAACGATCCAAGAGAAATGTTCACGATTTTCTCTGATGCGCTTCTTCAGCAGATCATTCTCCTCCATGAGCAGCTCGGACTTTTCTTTCTCCTGCTCGATGAGTTTCTTCGCGCGACGCAATCTGCGATCGAGAGTGGCATTGACTCTCTCCAGTTCTTGATTACGTTTGAGGGCGGCCTCCAGTTCCACGTTCGAGATAGGTTGCAGTGGTTTCACCTCGGACGGACCATGTCTATTGCGGTACTCGGAACTCTGAAGAATCTCCACCTCGCGCCTCGCTAGCTGGTGTTCAACTTCGGCGCGCTTGATTGCTTCATTACTCGTGAAAGACAGAAGGCTATTCTGAAGTTTGAAATGCAGCGCCGACATACGGGCTTCTTGCGCAACACTGAGGAGCTCTTTGGCGATTACACKCAGCTCGGGTTCGCTGGCAGTGTCGATGTCACCGACAGATGGAAGATTCTCAGAGGCACCATATGCAGCGCACAGAGTCTTTTCAATATCCGGAGGAGATGCTAGGTATGTGGTCGATCGAGATCTTGACCGCCGCAAGGGAGCACCAGGCACTTGTGATGATGGAGGCGGAGTCATATCTGAGGAGGCCAATGAAGGGGGGGAGACGAGCTTGCGCTGATCAGTTTCGGAAACCTGGCTTTGGACTTTTTCATCCAGCTCAGGCGAAGCAGAAAGACTTGGACGTCGATCCGGAGTGGCTGGCCCTGGAAGCTCCAAAGGAGGAGCAAGTGAGGTTTGCGATAACTGGGATTCTTGAGACATGGTGTAGTTGTGGCGCTCTGAGTGAGATATGATATTCCGTGGGGTAGACCCTCGCACTGCGGATGTGTTAACATCACCCGACCAGGTGGGGGTAGATCACTTGTTGTCAACAAACGTGCACATACCGGACTTTGATTTGGCACGTCAACACCCGGCTGGTGCGTCGGGCCAGTTGCAATAGATATTGTACTTGGGATTGAATGACAGTGTATGAATGTCTGAGTAGAGGCGACAGCTGTCGAAGGTGCTGACACGGACGCAATTGTACGCCCACCCTGGTCCCCGGCGATGAGCAGTTGGTCTTATCACTGATAGCGCCGTAGAAGCACGTTCTAAATCAGTATGGATGATAACACCCGTGGGAGAAGTCCGATATGGAATAACTGATAGATCTTTTGTAGAATGATATAGGAGCAAGGGGTCTCAAGGACTGGGAAAGAGGGTAAGCAATATTGTATGTGGATGTTAGACGCAAGGATCGCGGCGTGCGGGCGATTTGATGCCTTAAGGACGGGATGTCGCAAGCGGGAGTTTCGCACATCGGGGGGCTGGGAAAGTCGCTTGCGATGCTTTCGGCCTGGACCAATTATGACCATCCGCCTCCACCCACGTGAGTCCAGCCGCGCGCCAAAACTCCACCCATTCCGAATGCGGCTAGCACGGAGATCATCGAAGTTCGGAAAAGGTAAACAAGAGCTGAACCTCCCTGGGCCATAGCTCGTAACTCAGGCAACGCGATAACTGACGTAGTTCCTATATGTAGTTCTGAGATAGGATTTGATACTATGAGTCTT